CTCCTTAAAAACATCCCAGCGCTTCTGAGAAACCCCCTGCCTTCTTCGACGTTCCTCCGGCTTCTAAGAAAGACGCCCCCCCCGCGCGCGCCGCCTGGTGCAGTCGGAACGAGCGACACAAAGCTCGCGGGGGGAGCGCACGCAGGGGCGGGAAGCCTCGTCCAACAACGGATTGGAGGGCCGCGCCGAAAAAACCCAACAGCAGCCGACAGGATGGCAGGAATAACGACAGGGCCAATCAAACTCCCCCTCTACATCCTCCTCTCCTCTTCCTCCTCCTTTATTTGCCCCTCCACCTCTGACCCAACCTCGCCCGTCCTCACGCAAAAACGCTGGCATCGCGATGTGCACCAGGAGCGAGCTGGCACGCTCGAGTTAAGCATCCTGGAAAGGACGCTGAGAACAACGCTGGCAGCAACACCACAAGGTGTTCCTGGAGCGAGCTGGTACGCTCTGAACCAATTTCGTGCTCAACACGTCGGCATTGCGACGCGCAGTGGCCACAAACCGACACGCTCGGAGTGAGCCTCCTAGACCAATGCTGACAACGCGGTGTGCGCCAAGAGAGATCAAGAACACTCGGAGCGGACTTCCATGAACGACAACAACGAACCAGCGCAAACTGCGGCTGATGCGACCTGACCTGATCGGAGCAATCGGGATGCGCTTCCTGGCAAAAGGGCTGCTTGAGCGAAGTGCGCATGGAGCGAACCAGCGCGCTCGAAGTTTCCTGCCGACGCCGCTGACCACGCTTCCGGATGCACGACGCGTGCGGCATTTTGATACAACGACGGTTACAACTCTGGCAATGAACGATGTGCGCTGGACGCAAGCTGGGGCCCTCGTTGTCGCGGCAGCAACATTCGCAACGACGTTGACAACGTGATGTGCGGCGGACGCGAACCGGTGGGCTTCGACTGTCTGGCTGGAAACGCTGGCAACACTATACGCAACGGGCTCTCGACGGCACGCGCGTAGCCGGCAACGCGCAACGCGCAAACTGCACCGCTGGCAACGAGCCCCTTGCCGCTAGCGTTTGCAATAGCGCCGGCGCGCATATGATGCTGCTCCCGGGAGGTACGCTGGAGGGGAACTGGGCCAGGGCACCTGCAGTGATGGAGCTACTTGAATTGAATATATGAAGACACGCCGTTAGCAAATTCTGTTCAGCAAAAAGGGGGGCCAACCCGACTCCGATCCCGATGGACTTCCATCCGGACTGGGGCCCCATCCGGGTGTCGTGGAGGCGCGACAGCCCTGGCAAGCGCCAGCGGCGATACTCAGGTAGCGATCCTCGCAGCTGCCGTGGGTGTCGGTCTCTGGCGCGCCCCTCCCCATCAGCGCATTGGGTCTTCCCTTCTGTCGCGCGATTGGCTTGCAGGTTGCGTTCGGAGCGTCCCGCTACGTGGTGGCGCTCCAGCTCGTCGGCGCAGTGCCACTTGGATGAGAATCAAGAACACGCATGGGGATCCAGGTCTGTCATGGTACAGGGAGTGCGTTGGGAACGTTGAGAGTGTGTCCCGGGGAAGCAACAGCGGGCAACCCCAGACTCGTGCGACATTCCCTCGGCAGGCGGGCAACACAATTGCCCGACACTCCTGAGCAGTCTCGTTCTTTCCTGCGCGTGCTTCCCCCGGCTCTAGCAACATAGCTGCTTTTGGCTCGGGACGTTCGGCCACCGCCGACGACGGGACCGTCGAACCTAACGTCTGCTTGACATAGCCAAGCGAGCGCAATGGAGGCGAAACGTTTTGGTCCTTGTCTCCCTCGGGCTGTCGCAACGCAGTTGCGCTTAGCTCGGGATCCTGCGCCGTCGCCGCGGATGTGTCGTTTCGCGCGACTGCTTGACATCAAAAGGCCCCCCCCAAGAGGGGGCTGTGGCGACGAGGACGATCCGACACTGTCGAACATAGTTCGAACCAGCTCGGGAAAGAAGAAGCGGGGGGCGCCGTCCTTGTTGGTCTCGTACTGGTTGTGGCAGCTGTACTCGTGTTCTTGTGCCCGCGATGGCGGCTGGGCCGGTTTGGCCCCGCTGTTCCCTGAAGATGCGGCGCCTGCCTCGGCGAAGAGCATCAGCAGCATAGACGTAGATCGGATTGTAGAGCGGGAAATCGCCGATGACGATGTAGAGCGACAGCCAAGGACAAGGCAGCGTGCCTCGCGGGCCATGACGGCAGTTGGTGGAACGATATGTGTTTATGTTTAATCGTAGAGCGTTGTAAAGCGATAGCTGTGGTGGCCACCCTTGAGCCAAACGCCCATGGATAGCACCCTCGACCCGCGTGTTTGCCATGCTACACATGCTGATAATTACGTATCGCAGTGCTACCGTTCGAGTTGGAGTGAGGGGACGAGGGAACGAAGCGAGGAATGGGGGGAAGGAGGAGGAGGAGAAGGAGGAGGAGGAGAAGGAGGAGGAAGGAAGACGCCTTGGCGCACTGCACGTCGTACATCTCCTTCACGGCCTGCTTGATCTTGCACTTGGTCGCCTGGATGTCCACCAGGAAGACGAGAGTGTTGATCTCCTCGGAGGACAGGCGGGCAGAGCTGTCTGCTGACCGGCAGCGGCGGGCCTGGCCCCAAAGCGGCGCGCTCAGGCGCGCCTGGGCAGGGTGAGGAGGAGAGCCAACATAGCAACAACGCGCATTGCAAGAGACGCTGTCACACGCTGACGTGCGCTGCACGGGTGACAGGAGGTCGGCCTACACGAGAGGGTGCACGGAGTTCAAGGACCGGCTGTAGCGATACAGCTCTTGCTCAGCGTGTCGCGGCGGCAGCCATCGCGACATGCCAGGTCTGGAGACCTGGCAAGATGGCGGCAGGCTAAAAACACCTCGGAACGATGATGCTTGGTGACTGGGACGTGCCAGAACCCGCGGCACGATACGTTAAGCGCTAAACAAACATTCCTGACCGTAACCCCCAGAGACCCTGTCAACGGAAATGATCCCCCGACACACTATCAACGGGAAAAGAACTACCTGTCCATCCGCTTCAACATCTGCTCTGATAATTGATGCGAAGCTGAGTCACCGTCACCACCACCACCGCCAGAGCCAGCCACCACCACCATCACCTCCATCCTGCCACGCACCCTCTGCTCGTCGACGCATTCATCAAAGAGCGATGCAACGACCTTGGGTGCAAATCCGCTCACTCCCATATTCTCGCAGCCCACGCCCCAACCCCCCCTCAGCCCTCCTAATCCACTTTTACCTCCATCACGTTGATGATCTTTCTTTGCTATCCTCCACCTTCCTCACACCACTCTGCGAAAGTCACCGTATTCCCCTTCCTCGAGCCCTCTGGCGGAGGATACAGACATTCGCGAGCGACGCTGTCCTTATCGTCGGCCTTGCCTTGCCAAGCCCATGTGACTGCCGCCCTCTTACGTCCTGCCTCTCATCCTCCTCTACCTCCAACTCCTATTCCTCCGCCTCTGCCTCCGCCTCTGCCTCCTCTTGATCCTTCTCATTCTCTTTCTCTCCCTCCGCGACCGCTTCCACCCCCACCTATGTCCTCTTCTATTGCATTCCTCCCGCATATACTGGCCCCTCCTTCCACTGCCTCTCCTGCGCTGGCGTCTCCTCCCGTTCCCGGCCTCTTCGGTCCCTCATTTACTTGGTTCCCCCTCCTCATGTTCCTCCTCCAGCTACCACTTCCTCTCCCCTCCCCTTTCTGCTCATCCACCTCCTGCTCCGCCTCATCCTATTTTCCTCCTCCTCCAATCCTCGATCTTCTTCATGGCCGACTCGGTCGTCACGGGGCACTGGATGATCCGGTACTTGTCCATCTTGTCCCGCTGGGCCACGGACTTCCTCGGGGCAGGAGGGAGAGAGCGGAGGAGGAAGCACAGCATCGAAGAACACCACACTGCACAGACATACAACTTTCTGAGCTCCGCGCGGGTGTCTTGGATCGGCGCTGGACCCCGCTGGCAACGCCTCTGGTGCCGCCCCCGGCGCGCTCCGCGCACCGGGGGGGCGATCAAGCGCCGGCCCAAGAAATCCTCGCGGACCTCCGAGAGTTTATGCTTATTGCGTGTCTTCTGCATGGACCCAGGGACACGCCAATATGTAGACGAACGTATCTAGATTCCACATATTGTTCCATATTCTCTGCATGTCCGTCTTCCCCGCCACTTCCCATACTTTCCATACTTTCCTGGGAATCGGCGTGTATATGTGTCTGCGTGTTTTTCCCCTCCTGATCTTCTTACTCCTCTTCTGATTCCACTTCTTCCAGAAGCTGTGCGTGTGAAGGGAGTCCTCCCAGGCCCTGGGCCACCGTGGAGCATCCCTTGGGCCCCACACCCTCTCGGCGGGCGCTCGCTGCAAGCGGTGGGGGGGTTACTCGTGCGTGCTCACGGGCGGGATCGGGGCGGGACTTGGCACAGGAGGGCGAACTGCAGCATCAGAGAGTACGGCCAGACCCAGGACATACGAACATCCTCCAAGAACACGAGATCCTCCACCAGCCAACGTGAAGCACATTCGAGGGCACCCTCCACTAAGATGCAAAGAACATCCAACAAACACGGAGAACAGTAGGTTACCCTTCCCGAGGCGACCTCGGTCCGGCCGTAGGAGATGGACTACAAAATTGATATATCCCAAAACTGGTGTCTCGTCTACTCTCGTGGGTCTACGGGAATTCTGCGTATTTTCGTAACCCGAAGACCAAATCAGTTTCGGGGTGCATCAGTTCTGTAGTCAATCTCCTACCCGAAGCATTAGAGGCCTCCTCAAAGGGGTCCGAGAAGAGGGGGTCGTGTGCCGAAAAAGGAGAGGGGGGGGAACATCCAGAAGGGTGTCCCGGCTGGTGCCCGAGGCTCTGGGCATCCTGGCATTTTGCATACTCCTTTCTGGCTGCTGGCACATCTTATCCGAAATCCTCTCGAATCCAATTCTGATGCGGGCCCCAGTGTACCTGTTACGCCTTGCTAACCCTGGCAATTCTTATTCGAACTCGTCTCCAACTTAAGATTTGTCTCTCAAGGGTGTCCGCGCCTGGGCCTACAGTATTGCAGTATTAATGACCGTCACAATTCTTGCGGTCGCGCGCCGCAGCAAGTAATTCCTGAACCAATCCACGCTCTACTGTTGCGAAACGAATGTATGGTAGTCGTGAAGGTTCCAGGCAGCCCCACGACGGCTCCGAGATGCCCCGCCAACGTGACCATGCCGGCCCAAGACAGCTTAGACAGCTCGAGAATCCTCCAGGACTGAAGCATATCCGCCGAGACAGCCCCATAGAGGGCTCTACCGAGAATCCTCGGGAGAGCTCGGTAGAACCATCGCGTGCCCAAGATGGCCCGCACGGACCTCAAGAGGTCCCCCACGTGCCCCCAGGTGGACCACAAATGCTCATAATAAAACCCAAAGACCAAAATCTCGAATCAACGCCCGAAGAAATGCTCCCATGCAACGCGAAGGCCACGCCCTGCTACAGCAGCGTAGCGCGCTGCGTATGTTTCTGCCAAGGCTCTCTTGGAAAGCTCGATAGAACCAGCCTCACTGTGCTCCAACGCTGCGAGTAGACGGAGGCGGGGGTTTGCCGCAAGCGGCTGGAACACGTGTGGCACATTTGATTTTGTTGTGGCTTGCGGGCTCTCCTCCACACCTGAGGTCTGCGGGGCGCCGCCAGACGACGCTCAGATGATGCCGATGCGGTTCGCCACGTCGAGCGCGTCGTAGTCCTGGGTCAGGTGGACGTAAGCCTTCTTCCTGCCGTCGGGCCGGATGAGGGTGTTCACTTTGGCGCACTGCACGTCGTACATCTCCTTCACGGCCTGCTTGATCTTGCACTTTGTCGCCTGGATGTCCACCAAGAATACGAGGGTGTTGATCTCCTCGATCTTCTTCATGGCCGATTCGGTCGTCACTGGGCACTGGATGATCCGGTACTTGTCCATCTTGTCCCGCTGGGCCACGGACTTCCTGGCATATTTTGGGTCCCTCTTCTTGATCAGGGTCTTCGGCCGGAAGAAGTGCACGTTCGTGCGCACCTTCTTCTGCTTCCGCGCCACGGTCTTCTTCACGGCCTTGGCCACCTTGGACGCCTTCTTGGAACCCTTGCTGCCGCCCTCGGCGGGGGGAGCCTCAGTGCCCTTCTTGCCCATCGCTGCTGCTGGCCAGGCTGGCGTTTCCCCAGGCAGCGTGGAGAGCTTTCCGAAACCGAGTATTGAGCCTACCTGGCTTGAGCCGGGGAACATAGCGAAGCGTGTTGAAACAACACTTGGGACACACTTGGGAAACATCGATCTGGAATCGGCATAGGGAGGGAAACATCGACCTGGAATCGGCGATAGGTCCCCGATAGCAAATCCGCACGTTCCTGGGCGGGGTGGGGCTATCGGGCCCCTATCGGCGATCAATCGGCGATCGGAATTCGATGCGTCCACCCCCATGCCTACCCCCTATCGTTGCCCCTAAACACAGGAGCGACAGCAACATGTGGAAGTTCGGCCAGCCTTTATCTGGACTGATGTGTTGACGGTAGTGGAGCGTGAAGACGGACCAGCCTCTGACTGCGCACGCGCCAGGAACATGAAATATGGGGACGTCCCAAGCGGGTGGTCGATTCTGAGAAAGGCACGGGTTTTGACCCTCCCCAGGGTTGCCTCCAGAAGCGGCGGCGGCGATACCCGCCGGCAGAGGAGCGGCGCAGAGGGTGGCCTGCACGAGCACGGCCGACGAGCACGAGCTCTCTCTCTCTCTCTCTCTCTCTGGCCAGGCGCGGCTCCCAGGAGCGGAGAATCTCTGGGCAGCAGAGCAGATCGGAGCACGACGAACTGAGACGACGGCAGAATCGGCCCCCTGTAAAACGAATCCAGGACGAGGACGAATCCCGGTGAGGATAGATCGAGAATACCTCAGATCCGGCGGTTCTGAAGATGTCTCGGGCGCCGCGGCCTTCTCAGAGCGTTCCGGAAAGCTCCCGTCAGGGGAGAATCTTTGGGCAACACAGCGGGTCGGAGCACGCCGAAGTGAGCCGACTGCAGCTCAAAATCTCGGGGGTTGCTCAAGGTGTCCCCTGGCCAAAAGGTGCCCCCAGCTTTTCGCTCCGTATCGGAGCCCCCGGGGCCCTCTGGGCCTCGTGAGGGGTGCTGTCGTGGGGGCCGCCTCGGAAATCATGGGGGCATCTTGGGCCAGGGTCACTTCTAGAACATCTGAAAATCGGACCCTGGACCCCTCCCAGTGTCCAGACGCACCAATTTTCCGAGCTGCGTCCGACCCGTGGCAAAAAAGGGCCCCCCTCCGAAGAGGCCAATTGCCGTGGTCTCGACCTCGCCCTCCGCCAAGAGGGGGGTCGGTGGGGGCTCCTGGCATACTTGGGGTCCCTCTTCTTGATCAGGGTCTTCGGCCGGAAGAAGTGCACGTTCGTGCGCACCTTCTTCTGCTTCCGCGCCACAGTCTTCTTCACGGCCTTGGCCACCTTGGACGCCTTCTTGGAGCCCTTGCTGCCGCCCTCGACGGCGGGCTCCGCGGCGGCGGCGGCCTCGGGGTGTGGGGGGGGGAGGAGCCAAAGAGGAGAGCAGGAAAGGAGGAGGAGGAGGAGGAGGAGGAGGAAAAGGAGGAGGAGGAGGAGGAGGAGGAAAATGGAGGAGGCGGCGCAGCGAGGCGAGGCAGGTAGAGGAGGAGAAGGAGGGAATGCAAGGCAAGGCAAGGCAAGGCAGGCAAGGCGAGGCAAGGCAAGGCGAGGCGAGGCCAGGCGAGGCGATGTGAGGAGGAGGAGGAGGAGGAGGAGGAGGAGGAGGAGGAGGTTGAGGAGGAGAAGGAGGAGGAGGAGGAGGAGGGCGAGGAGGAGGCGAGGCGAGGCGAGGCGAGGCGAGGCGAGGCGAGGCGAGGCGAGGCGAGGCGAGGCGAGGCGAGGCGAGGAGGAGGAGGAGGAGGAGGAGGAGGAGGAGGAGGAGAAGGAGGAGGAGGCGAGGCGAGGAGGAGGAGGAGGAGGAAGAGGAGGAGGAGGAGAGCAAACGGGGAGGGGAGGCGAGGAGAGAGCGGGGGCAGTCGGGAGAATCAGGGGGGCGCGGGAGAACCCGGAAGGATATGCAGGCAGAGGAGCAATGGGGAGGAGGACCAGGCAAGGGAAGACCAAGAGGGATGAGTAGGAGGAAAAACGCCAGAATGAGGACGAGCCAGAGGGGCGCGATAGAGAGAGAGAGAGAGATGGAGAGAGAGAGAGAGAGAGACGGAGATTGAGAGGGAGAGAAACAGAGAGAGAGAGAAACAACAACAAAAACAACACAAATAACAACATACAAGCTCGAGGAGGAGGAGGAGGAATACGATCAACAAGAGCAACATCAAGAATTGGACCAGTAGTAGCATGCCGGGGAGGAGGGAGATGAAAAGGACTACGAGGAGTAGGGAGGAGGGGGAGAGAAGGAGGAGGAGAACGAGGAGGAGCAGGAGGAGGAGAAATTACCTTTTCGACGTTCCCCCAAACCTCCACCCCTAAGCCTCCCCTCAATCCTGCCCCATTCAGCTTCCTCCTCCCCCACCTCCCCCTCCGTCTGCCCTCCGCCTCCTTCTCCTTCTCCTCTCCCCCCCCAGAAGAAACTCCCCAAGGTCGCACTGCAAATCTTGTCGGTAGGGCGGGCCAGGCGCTTCGACTGAAGCTTTCCCACCATCAATGATGACAAAGCTTAAACTATCCGACAATTACAGGATGGAGAGAGGCTCCTTGCCAGAAGTGGCATTTTACCTTGAGACCTCTTCAGACTGGATGACCAGAAGCATAACTGTACAAACCATGCGCAACAGTCACACGGACATATGTCAGTTCAATTTCAAAGTGGGGCCATCATCACTTATGAAAGCCATTCTACGCTACATTGATGAATTTTCGCGCAGCGACTACACGGATGCAGGGTGCGTTCTTTGTCTCGCTGGACGCGTCCTTGAAACCTGCTATGCTACCTTTTGGCACTTCTCGCGGGCGGCCAAGAAGGGGGCGTCCAAGAGGGGGGGGGGCGCAAATCATGACCAGCGGCGTGTGCGCGGCCCAGCGGGGGGGGGGGGGCTGGGACGTATTGAGACAAGAAGAGGCGCCATGACATCTGGGGAGATATCATGGCCCCCGCCATGATATCCACCCCGCCCCCCCAGTCATCACCCTCCTCTTGGTCGCCCCCGATCTTATCCGAGCGGGGATGGCGGCCAATTCCCTGTGCAGAACGGGGCCTTCGCCTGAATGGCGGATCCGTGGGACGCTCGTCTCTCAAGGCGGCGCTTCTCCTGCAATGCAAAGGAACGGTTGTAGGGAACGATGGGGAGGGGACATCGGACGTGAGGGAGTGCGGCGGCAGCGTTGATTCATCCTAGGTGTACTCTGGTCCTCCTCCTCCTCCTCCTCCTTCTCCTCCTTCTCCTGCTCCTGCTCCTGCTGCTGCTGCTGCTGCTGCTGCTGCTGCTGCTGCTACTGGTCCCTCCTCCTCCTCCTCCTCCTCCTCCACCTCCGCCTCCTCGTCCTCCTCTTTCTCCTCCTCCTCCCCCTCCCTCTCCCCACGTTCCTCCCCATCCTGCTGCCTGATGAGCTTGGTCTGGGTTTGGTTGAAGTGAGCTGGGCCGTGAATGTGCTCCCTGAACACCCTTCGGCAAGAGCAGCCGCTGCCGCACCGTGACATGTGATTTACTCTTGCCTTCTGCTCCGCCGCATCCTCCTCGTCCTGTCTCGCCTCCTTCCTCCTCCTCCTCCTCCTCCTCTTCCCCTCCTCCTCCTCCTCCTCCTCCTCCTCCTCCTCCTCCTCCTCCTCCTCCTCCTCCTCCTCCTCCTCCTCCTCCTCCTCCTCCTTCTCCTCATCCTCCCCAGCATCCCTCGGGCATCCGCCTCCAGGGTCACAAGGGCCAGCCTCTTGCCCAAATGCTCCTCTCCTCTGCCTCCTGCCCCCGCCACATATTGCTGAAGTGTGCCGGAGCCTCTGCGGCAGGGATGTGTACGTACAACCCACGGCTCGCGCTCAAGCGCGCTTCCTAATTGTCCGTGGCTGTGTCCGTATTCTGCATCCGTGCTTCACTCCTGGCTTTGCCCGCTTGTTTTTGTTGTTTTATCTGCCCCTTCGGAGGCAGACCGATCCATGCTCCATGTTCCTTCCCTCGCCCCTCCGCCCCCTGCGCGGCCTTACGGTTGCGGGCATGAGCCCTTCAGAGAGCGCTGCCCCTTCCCTGCCCGCCCAGCCCGCTGCCAGAGATGGCAAACCAGGGAAAAAACCGAAAGACGAATCTGACAAAGAGACAGAGAGAGAGAGAGCCACACAAGGAGTCTGCGTGCCAGCTCTGGTGACGGAGCGGTCCCCCGAGTGGCAGACGAGCGTAGAGCAAGTAGGACAAGTGCATCGGGTCAAATGCGCACAGGGAGGTGAAACGCGTACAGGGAGGGCAGAGGGAGAGAGGGCGGAACAACCCAGACACAACAGAGAGGAAGACCCCGACCCCTGCCCTGAGATCCGACGACGCAACAAAAATTGCACCTTGTGATAAATCACGACTGCTGTCCTTGCCCCTATCGTTCTGCGTCATTTCTCGAGCCAGATCGATCTGCGAGGGTCACGGGGCCCGACATCGGGCGAAAACGCCTGGTATGAGAAAATTGATTCGCCCAGATCTGAGGTCGGCTACACGCAAGAGTGACCCTGGGTAAGAGTGACCTTTGGTGCGCGGCTTGTTGGGGGCCGCGGGGGGACCAACACACAAGCGCGCAATACGCTACTAGCGCATCGCGTACTGAACATTGGGATGAAGGTGTCGTACCCGATCAAGAGGAGCACGCACCGTAGTTGAAAAATCAAGCAGGCCCTCGAACCGCGGACGGGGTAAAACACGATGAGAGCAAGCAGTCAGGACCCCGCCAAACTGGTACACTATGACCAGCATTTCCCCGCATTGGGAGAGACTCCGCATTGGGAGAAAAATGCTGTGCCAGCTGCCGTCCCCCCGACTTGAACCCGAGGCGTCAAGGCCGGTCGTGTAAGAAGCCTGGGACCAGATGAAAACACTGGGAGCCCATGGGGAGACGGAGACCACTGGCCACCGCCCACACGGTGGCGGGCGGCCACGGCACGGCCTACTAGCGCATCGCGTTCGGCGATCGGGAGACCCCAATGGGCCCGCACAAAAGGTCACTCCAGCGAAAGGTAACCCTTACGTGCAATCGATGAGGGTGCCGCTCTTCCTCTGGCCGCCGATTTCCCGGTGGGCGGTGCGGTGGCCCGCGCCGCGCCTTCTTGCCCATGGCCGCTGGCTGCTGAGCACGGCCAGCGAAGACGGCGCGCGGACGGCGCGCGGGGAGCCCTCTGGAGCCGAGTCTGTGGCGCGCGCGGCGGCATAGAGACATACTGATACCATATGTCCTCATTGGAGGCGCGCGTCCGACCCGCACATACAGTATACCCATGCTGTAGTATGTCTTTTCCCGAGCGGTGTGGCCAGAAAGCGCCCGCCACGGAGCATACCTGCAAGAGTTCTCGGTGCGCGCGTCGGGCCGGGGGGGGCGACGCACGCACAGTGTGAGTGTGTTGGGGTGACGCCAACCCGAGCCTCCGCCCCCCCGCGAGGCAGGGGTTCATGCACATCCATTCGTGGCCATCTTGGCTCAAGGGGCCTGCTCCTGAACGTCCAACCTCGCTCGAGAGACTGAGGCGTGTTGTTCTGGCGGGGCCCACGAGCGAGTGGCCTGGGGTTCGCGACCCCAATCCTCTCCAGTTTCGCGCGCGCGCAGCATGGTACCGGGTCCGCCCAGAGATCGCCCCGCTCGCCCCTCGCACCCCAGGGTGAAGCCCCAAATCATGGATTCCCCTGCTGTGCTGCTATTATGTTTGATTCTGGAGGGCCTCCAGGTGGCTCTGTCCTGGGGGGCTCTCTTGGGTCCTCTTGGGGGCTTCTTGAGCCGTCGGGAGGCGGCTTAAAGCCGCGCTGGAGCAGTCTTGGGCTGCCTCGGGGGTGTCCTGGAGATCTCTTGGGCTGTGTGGAAAACATCTTGGATGATCCTGGAGCGCTCTCGGGCGGTCTCGGACCCCCGGGGGCCTCCCAGGGAAGCCGCCCGAGGCAGAGGGGAGCCCATATACGAGCGAGGTCCAGCAGGGGGCCAGCTCCCTTACATATATACCACATCGTAGCACCATGTGTAGAATATATTTATAGATACACAAATATACATATATAGAGCACAAACATATTTCTCTATATACATATACAAACATGTATGTATGCATGTATGCATGTATGCATGTATGCATGTATGCATGTATACATGTATGCATATATGCATTTATGCATGTGTGTATGCATGCATGTACGTATGTATATATGTGTGTGTATGCATGCATGCATGCATGCATGCATGCATGTATGTATGTATGTATGCATGCATGCATGCATGTATGTATGTATGTGTGTATGTATGTATGTATATATGGATACATGCCTGTATGCATGTATGTATGTTTGTATGCATGCATGCATGCATGTATGTGTGCATGCATGTATGCATGTATGCATGTA